TAAACAAGAGTTCTCTCCAGTAGATCTCTTGGAATAATCAACTTTCCTACAAAGATAACTTTTAATATATTATTTTCCCAGAAAAATGTTCAAGCTGCTTTATTATTTATATATTTGGCAAATCCCCAGCCTTAGTGCCTATGATCTCTTGAACTCAGTTCTAAGTTACATAAATCTTCATCTCCAAATTTTATACCAATACTTGGAAAAAGTTGTTTTAATATCCAGATTAATATTAAGAAATAGCTTTTCAATCACTCATTGAAAAAAGTTCATTACTGTTATGCTTCAAAAGGGATAGCCAAGGGGAAAATGCCAACTCCCTCCAGAAGTCAGTTTTGATATGCAAGTTACTGAGATTACTGTGAGCCAGGTGTAAACAATCTAGACCAGCAACTGTTCTAGTAACTGAGGTTGAGTCAAATATACTAAGACACCACACTTATGAGTTACTAACTATAAAGTCATCAGTTTGAACTCACCAGTCGCTCAAGTGGAGAAAGATTTCCTCTCATGAAGATTTATACCCTGAGAAACCCAAGGAAGCAGTTCTTCTCATCCTATAGGGTCACTATGAGTCAGATTTGACATGCTGGCAATTGGTTATATTGATGAGAAAATAAATACGGAGGGTGAAGCATTATCAGGTTAAGCCAGAATATTAGTAGGGAAGATGCTACATCTAATAGTTCCAATAGGGGAGAGAGGGAAAAAAAGAGGAGCTGATTCCAAGGGCTCAACAGAAACTAAACTAGAAAAGAATGATGGCAACATTATGTACGAATATGCCTGATACACTTGATGTATGGATTGTTATGAGTTCTAAGAGTCCCTAATACAATGTTATTTCAATAAAAATAAGTGGAGAGCAAATGCTTTGAGAATGATGAGGGCAATGAATGTACAAATGTGCTTTACACAATTGATGTATGCATGGATTGTGATAAGAGTTGTATGAGCCCCTAATAAAATGATTAAAACTAATAATAATAAAAATAAAGGTACAGGGGAAGAAGTTGGAGGGCAATGGGAAGCTAATAATGAGTAAAAGGAGGAAAATGTTTTAGAACTGACTGTAGTGATGATTATACAACTGAACTATTGAAAAGCATGTGAATTATGTCAAAACTAGGGTAAAAAAATATTAAAGTTTCAAGTTTTTTTAAATTAACCATAACTAGATACTATGTAAAGCTCTATTTTCTTTTTTAATCATTTTATTGGGGGCTCATACAACTCATTACAATCCAGTGTCAAGCACATTTGTTGCCATCATCATTCTCAAAACATTTGCTGTCCACTTGAGCCCTTGGTATCAGCTCATTTTCCCCCTCCCTCCCCACCCCCACTTCATGAACCCTTGATAATTTATAAATTATTTTGTCATATCTTACCTACTCCCTTCACCCACTTTTCTGTTGTCTATCCCCCAGGGAAGAAGTTATATGTAGATCCTTGCAATCAGTTCCCCCTTTCTAGATATCCCCCGGTATCTGTCACCACTCTCACCACTGGTCCTGAAGGGATCATCTGTCTGGATTCCGTGTTTCCAGTTCCTATCTGTACCAGTGTACATGCTCTGGTCTAGCCAGATTTGTAAGGTAGAACTGGGATGATAGTAGGGGGTATGGGGGTAGGAAGCATTTAGGAATTAGAAGTTGTATGTTTCATCGTTGCTACACTGCACCGACTGGCTCGTCTACTGTCCACAACCCTTCTGTAAGAGGATGTCCAGTTGCCTACAGATGGGTCTTGGGTCCCCAATCTGTACTCCCCTCATTCACAATATGATTCTTTATTCTTTGATGCCTGATACCTGACCCCTTCGGCACCTCGCAATCACACAGGCTGGTGTGCTTCTTCCATGTAGGCTTTGTTGCTTTTGAGCTAGATGGCCGCTTGTTTACCTTCAATCCTTTGAGACCCCAGACGCTATATCTTTTGATAGCCGGGCACCATCAGGCAAAGCTCTATGTTCATAGTAATATTTGTATTATATTTTTCTTATAGAACATACCAATGCAGATGTCCCACCAATTGAACAGATGTTAGCATTTGGTCATTTTTGCTAAAGATCTCTTTTAAAGAGATAATTCATTATAGATTCCAATAAAGTTCTCTTCCCATACCATCCACACACATAATCTCTTCTCCTGCCTGTCCTTCTCGGGATAGAGAATCTTAATTTTCTATGCATCACTCCAATGATACATTTTTTACTACACTTATTCTTACATTATTTTCCATTTTCACCAAACAAGTTGATAGTTATTTATATTGATATATGTGGATCTGGTTGATTACCTTAGTCTGCACATAGAATTTCATTTTCTGAATAAACCTCCTTTGGTCCACTCCAGGTAAATTGTTTCTACTTTTTGACAGTGTCGTAATGACTGATCTTGGACATTTCGTATATATGTGCAAGTTTCTTTAAGTTCTTTCTGCTAAGTGAAATTTCTGAGCCATAAAGCTTCCCAATTTTACTAGACAATGCCAAATTTAGTTCCAGTAATTGCATCATTTACACATCAACTAGGATGGTGAGTTCTTTGGCTCACTTTCATCCTTTAAAAATTAATCTCTAAAGACTCTTTTGGAAGTTATTTCAATGCATATATTCTTCCAATCTACAATTTGACATTTCACTTCAATGTCTTTTATAAGTTTTTATATTGTGGAAAATTTGAATCAGTGGTTTCTTTATAGTTGTCTTAAAAAAATTCTCTACCCCAGTGTTACATATCTTCTGACATTCTTCTAAGTGTTTAAACTTGTCCTCTTCACATTTATGTCTTCAAACCACCTAGAAAATACTTTTAAATATACTGTGAGGTAGGGATCTCATTTATTTTTTTTAAAAGTCCATCCTTTCATCAGTAAAATTTAAAACTACATTTGTCATAAGCACATTTTCAGATACAATTGTGTCTGTCTACATCTGTTAGACAGTTTACATTACTACTTGTTATCTGGCGAGTCCTTCCTAAACTGATTTTAATTGCCTTGCTATCCCCAAGGTCAGAAGTTCAAAATCACCAGCAGCTCCACAGTAAAGATGAGGCTTTCTACTCCCATAGTCTCAGAAACCCAGAGGGGCAGTTCTACCCTGGCCTATAGGGTCGCTGAGTTGGCCCTGACTTGGTGACAATTTGCTTTTCTTTGGGGGATGGGGGGTGATCTTCTTACTCTTTATTCCATCATACAGGTTTTAGAATTAGGTAAATATCCCACTTAGTGTTTTTAACGTTTCCTAATTTGATGAAATGCTATTTTTTGTTTTTGTGGCCAGATGACCAAATCTTTTATTTGGTACTCCATCACTGAGCAACACGAATGGGGGGAGAAATCAGGTTGTGACTCTATTTGAAGTTGTACTGATTTCCAAAATGAATTTGGTGAGGTTGAGAGTAATTTAACAAAAGCTCCCTAACCATGAACTTATAACTCTCCATTTTAGTTCTTCCTTGTGTCCTTCAAAAAGAAAAACCATCTCACCTGCCCCGCCCCCCTCCGCCCTTAAGTCTTATCACACAAAATCTCACTAGAATAAATGCTGGGCCTTTTTAAAAAAGCTAGTTCTTGCATTTGATCTCCTGGCCCACTAATGTGACCACTCCATTTATTCAGCTAGTTTGTTTTGTTGAAAAATCATGTTTTTAAAAAGTTATGTGTGTGAACACGTTGCCTTTGGTAGTTTGCAGTTAGTTGTTCATCTGTTTCTTCCAGCAATGTCATTACCCTGAACTTGAGTCCTAATGTTTGAACCTGATCCTTTTCTCTGGGGGCTGGAGCCCCTTGGTTGTAGTTTTTCCTTTTTTTCCTTCAGATAATTGGGGGTCCAAGAGAGTTAATGAGTTAATTCCATAGGTGTTGGGTGGAAAAGTCATTTCTTACCTTCAACTTGAAACAGATAGTCCTAATCCTCCGAAGGTACCCTAGAGGAAGCCTCTCTGATGTTTCTCTGCTCTAAGCCTTTCTGCTTACCTCAAGAGTAAGGTACACTCAACCCATTCCCTTGTCTCTTGTGCACAGGAAGATCCAGCCCCCTCCTATAAGGTGGAGGTCCTGTTAAAATGCCAAGCCCTTTTAGGGATTCTCTGACCTTTGCTCCCAGAGCGACATGCTGCTCAATTTTGATTCCTCCACCCTAGATTAAGCAACCCAATTCTCTCCACAGTAACCAGTGCTTGGTTCAACAGCAAATTGTTTTAAGTAGCTTGGAGTTAGGCAAAGTCATCGTGGTCCAAATATCCACCATTTTGTTGGTAGTGAAAATGAATGCTATTGATTTATAACTTTTATTTTTGCAGCTTTGTGGTTGGCCAAAAATTTAATATTCCATCGTTGTTCAACACAAGAATGACTTTATTGAGGGGGAGGGCAGAAAATTCTGCAGATTGTCAAAGAAATGGCCCAAAGGTATACTCTGGCCAGCATTATCCGTTTGCTCTTTAACATTGACTAAATGAAGACCTTTCCTTATACATAAGCATTTATAAGTGGTTATTGATGTTGCTGCTGTTGTTTCAGCTTTGTATACTGAAATAATGGTAATCAGGTTGAAAAATGATACCATGCAAGCTTAAGATTCGAACACACCAATTCCCTCCACCCCGTAGACTGATTCATCTTTCCATTTTGGGTAGCTAGATGCTGGTATGCAAAACACAAGTTAGAAGCACTTGCTTCTTTATGAGAATTTTTTAAGGACGAAGCCTCTAGAAGAACTTCTACTGGGAAATATACCACCACCAGCAGGCAGGTGCAAGTCTAATACTTTGTAACATGAACTTGTTGAAAGAAATGTTAACAATTCCATAACAAAATTAAACGAGTTTCAACTTTTTCCTCTCAAAAGCATAAAAATGACAGAGAGGCATAATTCTTAAAGTAAATCCAACTCTTCTTTGAACGAGTCCTGGTGTCGGTTACGCTGCAATCGGCTCTCCTTTTCGCTAGCTTCCTTTGAAAGCGGATTCTGCTCTCAAGTCCTTCGTTTAGTATCTGCTCCGGCCTCCCCCTCTCTCAGCTCGGCTCCCAAGTCGGCCTCCACCTCGGGGCACCCTGCGGCCCGACCTGCTATAGGAATCACGTGGAGGAGGGCACCCCCTTTCCATGGACGGGTGGAGCCCACGATCGGGCCTGCCTACCCGTTCGCGACCCCTGGAATAGCGGTCGCTGCGGCCACTGGTGTAACTGTCGCGGCCGCTGCCGTAGGCGTCGGGGGAGCAGCCACTGTACCCCACGTAGCGGCCACCTCCGCCGTGGCCGTAAGATGGCGGGGGGTCCCGCCCCGGCGCGGCGCCGCGCGGGTCCCCGTAACTCTCGAAGACGTCTCGGTAGGAGCCTGCGCTCGGATGATCCAGGTAGTCTCGGCTGCGACCCCCGTAGTCGTCTCGGTCGCTGTAGCCTCGCGATGGGCAGTCGTCGCGCGCACTGGAGTGGCCGTAATCACGGTAGGAGTACTCTCTCGGCGAGGGCGCGAAATCCCTGGGGTCGCGGCTCGGGTAGTCTCGGCTCGAGTAGCTATCTGGGGGCG